TTATGTGCACCTCTGCATCTCTAGTTATTGTCCCTTATAAATCAATTGGCTCTTCCTGATGGAAAGTGAACACCTAATTGTTTTTACTTAAATAAAAATTACTTAAGCAAATTTTTCAAAGCATAATTTGAAACACACACTCAAAAACGCTACCATTGAATGAAATTCCCAAATGGTTTTATTGTATGAAAGGAAATTCAAGTTTTAAAAAGAGATGTCATTATTCTTTAAATAATTTGCACTATTTATTTATTTATTTTGATAAATTTATTTTATTTTATTTATTTTATTTTTGGCTGCATTGGGTCTTCATTGCTGCATGCAGGCTTTTCTCTGGTTGTAGCGAGCAGGGACTACTCTTCGTTGTGGTGCACAGGCTTCTCATTGTGGTGGCTTCTCTTGTTGGGAGCATGGGCTCTAAGCACATGGGCTTCAGTAGTTGTGGCTCACGGGCTCTAGAGCGCAGGCTCAGTAGTTGTGGTGCACGGGCTTAGTTGCTCCACGGCACGTGGGATCTTCCCAGACCAGGGCTCAAACCTGTGTCTCCTGCATCGGCAGGAAGATTCTTAACCACTGCACCACCAGGGAAGCCCTGCACTATTTATTAAATTTTATAAAACTACCAGAAAATGTACACAGTATCTTGTTATAATCTTATTTGTGTTCTGCATTAACCAACAATTATCTGAGTTGTTCTGCTCCTTTATTTTCTCTTCTGTGCTTGCCCTGAGACCTACTTTCCAAAGAACTCTGATTTAACCTTTTATTTTGTTCTTTCTTAATATGGGATTACTAGAGTATTTCTATATACTAAATAAATTTTTGCCATATTTTATACACCAATCCTATATTTTTCTTCATTTTTTCTCTCAGTTTTCTTCTAACCTACATTTTCCTCTATCATTTTCTACTTCAATTATTAAAGAAAAGATCTATTCAATTATTATTCTAATCAGATTTGAAAATTCTATGGAATTTTCAATATTCAGTTAGCTTATTTTTTTTAATAACTTTCACCATCAACCCAGAAAACTACTGTGAAATTTCTCAGTGTTTTTATGTATTCTATCCTTTCTCCTTGTCATTTGTTCCTTTTAAAATTTGTTTCTATAAGTAAAGATGGAGTAAATTAATGGTAACAGAAGACAAGTCCTCTGTTAATCCTTCCCTCTTTTTTTTTTTTTTTTGTGGGCCTGTCACTGTTGTGGCCTCTCCGGTTGCGGAGCACAGGCTCCAGATGCTCAGGCTCAGCGGCCATGGCTCACGGGCCCAGCCGCTCCGCGGCATGTGGGATCTTCCCAGACCGGGGCACGAACCCGCATCCCCTGCATCGGCAGGCGGACTCTCAACCACTGCGCCACCAGGGAAGCCCCAATCCTTCTCTCTTTTCCTACTCCAGTCAAACATATTTTGTGTCCCCAGATTCTATCCAGTTAGTGACCAAGACAGTTGCGGCTAGTTTTCAAATGAGAAGAATTTATCTTCACAAGATTGCTCAAAGAAGAATAGATATAAGGAATGTGCAAGAAAAAAAAGTAATTTTAATTGAATTTAACTCATTCAGAAATGTTTAACTTACTTAAAAATCAGAGAATGTTAAGGGGCTTTTTCTCATAAATAGTTCAGTTAATTTTGCCTAAATAGTTCAATTAATACAACAGTAATTTTGAAAGTTTTATATAGACAGTAACAGAAATTTTCCCCATTGTTCATAACAGTTATTGTAATTCTCTCACTTCACTTATAATGGGATCTTTCTTGCAGAGATTTATGTGGCCTGTTTATTTTGTAAGCATATGTAGCTGTAATCGTGGCCAACTTTATTGCTATGAACACCACTAGAATTCAGAATTTTAGTGACCTCATCATAAATCCTTCCAACTGTTACACATACAGTTACAGTACTAAAAATAAAGCCTTATTCATAAGGAAAGAATAATGAGTCCAGTTCCCCACACCCAATACACACATCCACTTAGAACCATGTTTCAACCTATTCAGAATCATTGTTTTCACAAATTTATGGAAGCTCCTACTTAGATTTAGAGACAATCTTAAAGACATTTATTTTCTAACCATTCTACAGTAATTGTAATATTATTTTCAAGAAAGACCTTAAATGAAATATGTTTCTTCCTGAGGCATATCTTACTATTTTAAAGCAATATTAGTCATTTTTCTCACCTTTTGGCCACATACAGTAAAGTCTCAACACTTCACATTATGTAACTTATCTAAAGTTAATCCTTATGACTCTCATGAGAAAGGTGGCCATATAAATTATCATCCATTCCAGGATCTAAAACATGCAATAATTTATATATATTTTTTCATAGTTTCTTTCGCCTTAATTTAAAATGAGTATTTCAACAAATACTTTTGTAAGACAAAACTCATCAAAGACAGTATATCTACTTATAATTCTGAATATTTTCCCAAAACTAAATAGGGTAAAATTGTAAATCTTCTCAATTTCATTCCAGTCTGATAGAAAGAATAAATTTAACCTATCAAAAAAAGTGTCTTCCAAATACAAATAAACAAATCCATTAATTCTCATTCTCTATTTAGTTGATATAATGGTTTTGTAGAGATGCATTTAACATCTTTTTGATTTCAAGGTTTATTTTCAAAATAATTACAATTCTGAAAAATATTAAGACCCAACGTTCTGGGGCTATATACTTTGACTACCGTGATTAAAAATTCCCAACTGTTTTTGAAAAAAACACATATAATCAAAATTTCAAGAACTCACAGTGTAGGACCTTTAGGTTGACCTAGGAAGTAGTCAACAACCAAGTTTAATTTGTTTTTAAATCTGATTAATGATAGTAACAAAGAGAAAACAATCTAATTGCTTTCAAATTATTTTGTGTTTTCCACATCAGTATTGTTATAAATATTGTAGTCCATTAATATGTATAAGAATAGAAATATTTATAAATTTCACAACTAAAACTTCTATGCATTTATAGTTTTAATATTTTTATAGTTTTAAAAATTATCTGTACTTTTAGGAATTATCGATTTAAAGAAAAATTGTGAAGATAGTACAAAAAGGACACATATATGCCTTATCTCATTTCATCTATTACTAACATCTCATCTTACTATAGTATATTTGTTAGGATTAGTGTAAATATTGATATATTATGCTTAACTGAAACTCATATATTCTTCAGATTTCCTTAGTTTTTCCTTGATGTCTTTTTGTCTGTTTAGGATCCTACTCAGGGTGCCACATCAAATTTAGTTTTCATGCCTTCTTAGGCTTCTCTTGGCTGTTACATTTTCTCGAACTTTCCTTGCCTTGGATGACCTTGACAGTTTTGTGGAGTACTGGTCAGGTATTTTGTAGAATATCTTTCAATTGGGATTTGTCTAATGTTTTTTCTCATGATTGGTCTGGGGTTGTGTGTTTCTGGAAGCAAGCTCATCACCAAATCCAAGCCCACTTAGTTTTTCTTATGTACCTTGTTTAAGAGGTTTTGTCGTTTTGAATTTTACATTTAGGTCTATGATCCATTTTAAGTTAATTTAATATAATATATATATTATATATATATATATATATACAATATATATATATATACATGCATATGGATGTCCAATTATTCTAGCACCATTTGTTGAAAACACTATCCTTTCTCCACTGACTTGCCTTTGCTCCTTTGTCAAAGATTATTTGACGGTACTTGTGGATATCTATTTCTGGGCTCTCTACTTTGTTATTCTGATCTATGTCTATTATTTTGCCAATACCTTGCTGCCTTGATTACTACAGCTTTATAATAAGTCTTGAAAATAGGTGGTGTGTGCCCTCCAAACTTGTTCTTTACTATTGTTTAGGGTATTGTATGTTGCTTGCCTGTTCATATAAACCTTAGAATCTCTTTGGCACTATTTAAAAAATGCCTCCTGGGATACTGATTGGGATGCAAGGAATCTATAGATTAAGTTGTGAAGAATGGACATATTAACAATGTTGCATCTTTCAATATATGATGTCCATTTATTTAGATCATCTTTGATGTCTTTCATTAGAGTTTTACAGTTCTCTACATATGGTCTCTGTATGTGTTTTGATAAATTTATACCTAAGAATTTTATTTTATTGGTGCTAATTTTTTTTTTAATTTTCACATTCTAATTATACATTGCTGATACATAAGAAAATAACTGAGTTTTGTATATCACCTTTTATCCTACAGACTTGCTAACTTTGCATATTAGTTCCAGGTTCTTTGGGATTTTCTACTTAGATAATGATGTCATTTGTGAGCAGAGATGGTTTTCTTTCTTTCTTTTCAACCCATATGCTGTTTGTTCTCTTTGTCATCTTATTATATTAATATTAGTAATAACTTCCAGTATGATATTGAGTAGGGGTGGTGAGAGAAGACATTCTTGACTTATTCTCAGTCTTAAGAGATAAGCAATCAGTTACTCAGCATTAAACACTGTGTTAGCTATACGTTATGTGTAGGTGCTCTTTACCAAATTGAGGAAGTTCCCTATTCCTAGTTTGCTGAGATTGTTCATTATGAATATGTCTTGAATTTTGTTCAACAATTTTTCTGTATCAATATGATTATGTAAATTTTCTTCTTTAGCTTTTTGTGTGATGAATTACATCAGTTAATTTTCAAATACTAAATCAGCCTTAATTACTAATCAGTAATCAGTGTACTCAGAATAAATCCCACTTGATCATTGTACATATCTTTTTATACATTGTTAGGTACCATTTGCTAATATTTTGTTCAGATTTTTGTATCAGTGTCCAGTAGAGATATTGGTCCATAGTTTTCCTTTCTTGTAATTTCTTTACCTGGTTTTGGCATTAAGATAATGATGGCCTTATATAATGAATTAAGAATTATTCCTTCCGATTCTATTTCTGGAAGATATTGTGGAGAATAGGTATCACATCTTTATGAAATGTTTTCTAAAATTCACCAATAAAATTATCTGGACCGGCAAATTGAAAGGTCCGGATGCCGGTGCACAGCTGCGTCCCTGCGCCTCTGCCCCTTGAGTTCCCCGCAGCCGCCTAGCGTGCTCCGGCCCAGGCGAGTGGGGGCCGTGGGGATAGGCTTCTGAGCCCTCACAGGGCTGCCCTCCGACGGACGGCGCGGGACCTAGCCGGGACGCGAGCGGAGCGGGCTGTTCAGAGCACGCGGCCAAAGGAACGTGTTTCCTGGAAAGGGCTTGTGGGCCTCCCTGCCAATCCCTGTGAAACGGGATGGAGCGGTGACATTGTGCTGTCACTACTACTTGGTGCTGCGGGCGGTCTCCTGAGGATGCTTTGTGCCTAAGGCCCCCCATCGTTCTCATTGTGCTGAAGAGGAAACATTTATTCGAGAATATTTACCTAACTTAGAAAAAAATTTAACTTGGCACTATGGGGATACAAGGATTACTGCAATTTATCAAAGAAGCTTCTGAACCTATCCACATGAGGAAGTATAAAGGGCAGGTAGTAGCTGTGGATACATACTGCTGGCTTCACAAAGGAGCTGTTGCTTGTGCTGAAAAACTAGCCAAAGGTGAACCTACCAATAAGTATGTAGGATTTTGTATGAAATTTGTAAATATGTTACTATCTCATGGGATCAAGCCTATCCTGGTATTTGATGGATGTACTTTACCTTCTAAAAAGGAAGTGGAGAGGTCTAGAAGAGAAAGAAGACAAGCCAATCTTCTTAAGGGAAAGCAGCTTCTCCGTGAGGGGAAGGTCTCAGAAGCCAGAGAATGTTTCACCCGTTCTATCAATATCACACACGCTATGGCCCACAACGTAATTAAGGCTGCTCGGTCTCAGGGAGTAGATTGTCTTGTGGCTCCATATGAAGCAGATGCACAGTTGGCCTATCTTAACAAGGCTGGTATTGTACAAGCTGTAATTACAGAAGACTCTGATCTCCTCGCTTTTGGCTGTAAAAAGGTTATTTTAAAAATGGACCAGTTTGGAAATGGACTAGAAGTTGATCAGGCTCGGCTAGGAATGTGCAAACAGCTTGGGGATGTGTTCACAGAAGAGAAGTTCCGTTATATGTGCATTCTTTCAGGCTGTGACTATCTCTCATCGCTGCGTGGGATTGGATTAGCCAAGGCCTGCAAAGTACTAAGACTAGCCAATAATCCAGATATTTTAAAGGTTATCAAGAAAATTGGACATTATCTCAAGATGAATATAACAGTACCAGAAGATTACATCAAAGGCTTTATTCGGGCCAATAATACCTTCCTCTATCAGCTAGTTTTTGATCCCATCAAAAGGAAACTCATCCCTTTGAATGCCTATGAAGATGACATTGATCCTGAAACACTAAGCTATGCTGGGCGGTATCCTTTCTGAAACAGAAGGGTAGAACTTTGCACTTCTTCCATATTTTTGTGGTGATTTTTTAGTGAGACATTCAGTAAAAAGTTTGCAAATTGTTTTTTGCTTTTTTTATAGTGAAATCTTTATTTTGTTAAATTTAATTACAATGCTAGGGAAAATTTAGAGTAACTTTTTGTTTAAAAACCTGAGGCTCATCCATTATAACTTGCTAACTACTTAGATTGACTTGACAGAAACATGTACAGTCAGTCACTTAAGGTACATACTCCAGAGGTGGCACTTAAGAGAACCCCTCATGGCAAGCAAGCTCAATTAACCAGGAAGAATGCTCTGAACATATGAGTATGCCAGTTGAGGATGCTCTTCCCACAGCCACTGGCCACGTACATCCAGGGTGATGTAGAGCCGTGAGTCACATAGGCAGTCGCCAAGACTTTCCTCTCTGTCTCCCTTGACAGGGAATAAGTGATGCCTTGGGACTTTGCTTCAGAAAATAGCCAACTCCTGCTGTGACTAGTAAACTATGCCTGTGGTTTCAGTAAAGCTGAATGTGGAAAGTAAGTAGGGTCCATTGAAGTCATAAACCTGTGACAATAGAACACACTTTCTGTCTTATTACAGTATCATTTGTTTGGTTGTTAATAAAAGCATTTTCCCTTAATCTTAAAAAAAAAAAAAAAAATTATCTGGACCTGGTGATTTCACTTTTGGAAAGTTATTAGTTACTGATTCAATTTCTTTAACACATATAAGCTATTCAGATTATTTACTTCTCTATGTAGAAATTTGAGTAGTTTGTGTCTTTTAAGGAATTGGTCCATTTCACTTACATTATCAAATTTGGAGGCACAGAGTTGTTCAAAGTATACCTTTATTATCCTTTTAAATATAGATATATATTTATATCCTTTTAAATATACATATCCATGAAATCATTTTTGATAGCCCCTCTTTCATTTCTGATATTGGCATCTTGTATCTTCTGTTTTCTTGCTTATCCTAGATTGAAATTTATCAACCTTATTAATCTTTTGAAAATAATCCTTTAAGTTCCATTTATTTCTATTTTGTTCATTTTCCTGTTTTCAATTTCATTGATTTTTTGCTCTATTTTTTATTTTTTTCTGTTTTGTGTAGGCTTACATTGTTCTTCTTTCTCTAGTTTCCTAAAGGTGAAAGCTTAGGATACTGATTTTTGATATTTTCTAACACATAAATTTAAAGCCAAATATTTCCCTTTAAGCACTGCTTTTACTGCATACCACGAATTTTGATGTTAGCTGTAATTTCTGTTTAGATAAAAATACTCTTAAAATTTCTCTTGACTCTTTTTGACCATTTTGTTATTTAGAATTATGTTGTTTAATCTCCAAATCTTTGGAATTTTCCAGCTATGTTCCTGTTATTGATTTTTAGGTTAATTCCATTGTGGTCTGAGAATATACTTTGTATGATTTATATTCTTTTGAATTTGCTAAGGTTTATTTTACGGGACAGACTTTGGTCTTTCTTGGTGTATGTTTCATGTGAGACTAAGAAATGTGTAATTTGTGGTTGGAGGGTATAGTCTATAAACGTCTGTTAAATCAGACTGATTTATTGTACTGTTCATGTCAACTGTATCCTTACTGATTTTCTACCTGCTTGGTCTATCAATTACTGAAATAGAAGTATTAAAGTTTTCAACTGTAGCACTAGATTTGTCTGTTTCTCCTTTCAGTTCTGTCAGTTTTTGCTTTCCCTTTGATCTCTCGTTAGGGACATGCACACTGAGGACTATTATATCTTCTTAAAGAATTGACTACTTTATCATTATTTAATGCCTCCCTTTATCACTGTTAACTTTCCTTGTTCTGAAGTCCATTTTGTCTGAAATTAATATAGATTTAAAAATATATATTCTGACAATCTGTGTCTTTTAATGGGTGTATTTAGATAATTCATATTTAAAGCAAATTTAATAGAGTTTCATTAATATTTGTATGGGTCAGGGTTCTCCAGAGAACCAAAACCTCTAGGAGAGAGAGAGAGAGAGAGAGAGAGAGAGAGAGGGAGGGAGGGAGAGAGAAAGATAAGATAAGGAATTGGTTTAAGGAATTATGGAGGCTGACAAGTCCCTATGTCTGAAGGGTGAGTCAGCAAGCTGGAGATCCAGGAGAGCCTATGGTGTAGTTCTAGTCTGAAGACCAGCCATCCTGAGACCCAGGAGGAGCTGATGCTTCACTCTGAGAGCAAAGGCAGGAAAAACTCTCCCCTTATTCAAGTGAGGGTCACCCTTTTTGTTCTATTCGGATCTTCAAATGATTGGATGAAGCCAACCCACATCAATGAGGACAATCCGCTTCACTCAGGCCACAGAGTCAAATGTTAATCTCATCCAGAAACACCCTCATAGATACACCAAGAATAATGTTTGACCAAATATCTTGGTATCCTGTGACCCATTAAAATTGACACAAAAATTGGCCATCACAACATTTATGAATTCTGTGCCTGTTTTCTATTTTTTGTACTGTCCTTCTCCCCCAAACCCTACTCATATTGTTTTCTCTGGTTTTAATTGAGCATTTTGTATGATTCCATTTTATCTTTGATTTTGTTCCTAACTTAAAAAAAATCTACTGGTTGCTCTAGAGTGTGCAATATTCATTTATAACTAATCTAAGTCCACTTTCAAATGACAATATCCCATTTCATGTATAGTGAAAGTGCTTTAAGACAGTACTTCAAATTGTACCTCTGACCATCATAATATTGCTGTCATTCATTTACCTTATTCATATGCTATAATTGCCTAATACATTATTACTGTTATTAGTTTAAACAGTTATATTTTGAGCTATTAAAAATAAGAAAACAATTCTAAATTATCTTACCTTCATTTATTTCTTCTTGAATGCTTTTCCCTTTTCCATGCAGATCTGAGTTTCTGATCGATATAATTTTCCTTCTCCCTAAAAAAATTTTTAAAAAATTCTTATGTAAATCAATGAAGTCAGGACACACCCTCACACCATACACAAAAATAAACTCAAAATGGCTTAAAGACAAATATAAGACATGACACCATAAAACTCCTAGAGAACATAGGCAAAATATTCTCCAACATAAATCGTAGCAATGCTTTCTTAGGTCACTCTCCCAGGGCAATAGAAATAAAAGCAAATATAAACAAATGGGACCTCATCAAACTCACAAGCTTTTGCACAGCAAAGGAAACCATAAACAAAATGAAAAGACAACCTATGGACTAGGAGAAAATATTTGCAAACAATGCAACCAATAAGGCCTTAATTTCCAAAATAGACAAACAGCTCATAAAACTCAACAACAAAAAAACAAACAACCCAATCGAACAATGGGCAGAAGACCTAAATAGACATTTCTCCAAAGAAGACATACAGATGGCCAAAAAGAACATGAAAAGATGCTCAACACCGCTAATCATCAGAGAAATGCAAATCAAAACTACAATGAGATATTACCTCACACCAGTCAGAATGGCCATCATCAAAAAGTCCACAAATAAGGAATGCTGGAGAGGGTGTGGAGAAAAAGGAACCTTCCCACCCTGTTGGTGGGAATGTAAATTGGTACAGCCAATATGGAGAACAGTATGGAGGTTCCTTAAAGAACTAAAAAGAGAGTAACCATATGATCCTGCAATCCCACTCTTAGGCATATATCTGGAGAAAACACTAGTTCAAAAAGACACATGCACCCCAATGTTCACGGCAGCACTATTTACAACAGCCAAGACATGGAAGCAACCTAAATGCTCATCACAGATGAACTGCTGAAGAAGATGTGGTGTGTGTATATATAAATATAAATATATAAATATATATATATATATATATATACACAAAACTGAATCACTGTGCTATACACCAGAAACTAACACATTGTAAATCAACTATACTTCAATTTTTAAAATAAATAACTTCATAAAATAAAATTCAAAAATTCTTGCAGGGAAGGTCTGCTGGTGATGAATTCTCTATGTTTTTATTATCTATAATACTCTACTTCAGTTTTGAAGAATTCAAGTTTGGTGTTATTATTGTTGTTTTCTCTCAACACTTTAAACATTTCACTCCAATCTCCTCTTGCTTTCAGACAATAATTATATATATATACACACACACACATATATATATATATATGTGTATATATATATATATATATATATATTTTTTTTTTTTTTTTGCGGTACACGTGCCTCTCACTGTTGTGGCCTCTCCCATTGCAGAGCACAGGCTCCGGACGCACAGGCTCAGCGGCCATGGCTCACTGGCCCAGCCGCTCCGCGGCATGTGGGATCTTCCCGGACCAGGGCACGAACCCATGTCCCCTGCATCGGCAGGCAGACTCTCAACCACTGCGCCACCAGGGAAGCCCAATAATTATATACTTTTGAAATTTCTCTGCCATTATTACATTAAATATTTCTTCTGTTTCTTTCTTACTTTTCCTTCTGGAATCCAAATTGTACATGTGATGAACCTTTTGAAATTGTCCCAGAGTTCTTGGATGTTCTCTTCTGTTTCTGTTTTTCTTTTTTCCTGTTTCCTCTTTGTATTACAGTGTTGGAAGTTTTTATTGACATATCTTCAAGCTTACTGATTCTTTTTTCATCTGTGTCCAATCTACTGGGAGCTAATCAAAGGTAGTCTTCATCTCTCTTATAGAGTTTTTAATTTCTAACATTTCCTTTTGATTGTTTCTTAGCATTTCCATCTCTTTGCTTATATTATCAATTTGTTCTTACATGTTGTCTACTTTTTCCATTAGAGCCCTCAATGCATTAATTATAGTTATTCTAAATTCACTCTCTGAAAATTCCTAATTCTGATTCATATCTGAGTTTGGAACTAATGCTTACTTTGTTTCTTCAGATTGTGTTTTGTCTTTCCTTTCAGCATGGTTTATTAGTTTTTCTTGATATATGAATGTGTTGTTTAGGGACAATAGGGACTGATGTATATCAACTTTTAGTGTTAATCTAACTAGGATCTGGGGTGTTTTAATGTGTGCTATAGCTGTAGGTGTTATAGGCAACTTTCTCTACTTTTCTTGTTTTTGTCTCCCCTTCTTGACTTTTGACTTCCTGAGAATTCTTCCTAGACAGATTCTGTGCTTTATAGCTCTTTCAGCTATAATCCATCATTATACTGTAGTCTTATTAATGTGGCTGAAAGGTGTTTGAGACGGAAAGTGCTCTAGAATGCTATGATTCAATCTCAGTCATTTAGTAGGTGTGTGTCCCTGAGATGTGGCCTTCACTATGGTTTCCTATTTCCCTCCCTTTAGGTGAGATAGGAGGCTTGAGTGGGGCTGCAGTTTGGTACCAGTACTTCCTGCAGGGGAAACAGGTAGTCTTTTCCTTTTAGAGCAGCCCTTTGTTGTGGAGAACACTGTGGGCTTATGTCATTATTGTTACTCTCCTACCTCTTTGGCAGAGACATGAAGGCATTTTCGTGACTCCTCGCTATGAGAATCTGGTGCAGTTACTGAAGATATAAATCACAGAAGTGTGGGAACACTTCTAAGACTGCAGCCCTCAGGAATTTTTCACTCTCATGCTAGTTCACA